TTTTAAAGTTAAAGTTACTGATTGAGATTATTTATTGTCCAAATAACTCTGTTATCATTATAGAACTGGCCACAGTTTGTGACAATTGTTTTCATTATTGATTAATCTTCCAATTGTTTTCTCAATGAATCAGTTATTAGCTTGGTGCACATCAGTCTTCCTTGGTAAATGATGTAGATGATTAATCTGATATCAAGATAGTTAGCAATTAACAATCTGTTGATAAACTAATCTTATGTGTAAAGTAGCCCACTGTTTCATCTGTTAAGGTTAATCTACAATAATCACTGATATATAACAGATTACACTTTGAAAGTAACCTTCTATGCCCTTTAAAAATTTCTGTCACCATTAACTTTGCTTCTCTGTGTGCTGCTTTCTCTCACAGCTACTCATCAAAGTGTTAACCTGTGCTGTTAAATGACATAGGCTGAAACCAACAACCTCCTCAAGAAATGTTTCCACTCATAAAATCCTGTCCAGCAATCATGCTTTAGGTGTGTACCGCATGGGGAACACTGATGTTATGCAGGTTGTTTCTGTTTTTTCTTAAGTTAGATTGTCATGAAAAAAAAAGATACTGAGTCATGGAGTCCGACAAGTGAGCAAATGAAAAGTGAGCCATTATACTGTACTAAACAGACAACAGGGCTCACATTAAAAGGTACTGAAAAGTGATATCTCCTGGACAAAATTAACAATCTCTTATTATGCAACTGTTCTATTTTCCCACAGCAACGTCCTTGCTGCTGCCAATGCCATTAGCTCTTTGTTCAGAGGCCACTTGATTATTACAGTGTATTTTGAAAGCAGTAAATCATACTGATCAAAAGACCACTGTGATTATCTGGCATTTGGCTCAAGTTCTTATCCAGACAGTGGAAAAAACGGTTTGGAATAACACTGACATACTTTCTGCGGTTTAATCAAGTCTGGAGGTTTGAGAGCATTGCAGTGGTCTGGCCAGACGGCTGCAGCAACACACGAAGGTGATATTTGAGACTGTGTGGTGAAAGCTGAGCTTCTTCACTCTTCCCAAGATGACTTGAGAGGTGATATTTCGTCAAAATGTCCCAAGTTACTCCTCTGTGTGAAAATAACTGGGAGAGAAATGAAATCTGATAAGAATATCTGATCCACCAAGCTCAGGAAAGTTACTGAGATATAATGTAATATGGTGACATGGTAGAATCAAATACTGGATATTGTTGCAGAAGTGCACAGATATTTCTATTCAAAGGTTTTCTTTTGTGAGTAAATGTAATGGTTGGTGGACAAAATCCACCATCCTTGTCGGTATAAAGCTGCATTCTAAAATGTATCTGAAGCTATTAGGAGGCTTTTATTAGTCTGAGTTCGTCAAATCACGTGCGTATCTTAAGTTACAGGCTTTTTAGTACAAAATGTCTGCTTTGTGTTGAGCTGAAAGGGAGTGACAGTAACAATGAGGGAATTTCTTACTAAAATTACTGTAATTTTGGAAAATACCATGCTTGATTTGTCTAAGTCAGACTGCTGAAACCATGTGTTAGCTTCAGCTTAATTTTGGAATCCTTTTTTGCAACAGGACTGTGAATTTTGGGAAATGATTACAGTAACCAGTAACTCTTTAAATGTAAGCCTATATGGACATGTGGGTATTTCAGAAAAACGGATAGAAATAATGTTAAGATATCCTTTTGGGCTGCATGCGATTCATATTTTTATATAAACAATTAATTAATTTACCCTCATAGTTATGAGCCAACAGAGAATTATCACCAACTACGCAGCTCCACGAAGCCGCTGCAGACTCGGCTCATTAACCTCCAAACCAACAGGCAGCTGTTTTCCACACCTACAGCTAAGATAAACCTATACCTGCCCAGCACCAAGTAGACAGACAAAGTTAGCAACTAACTAACAGAAATCTCCCTCAACGATCAAATGTAGAGCTTACATTTGATCAGGACAGAAACACAACTCCAAATTAATGCTGATTTTGCTCCATGTCTACTGAATGTGTTCATAAGCAAATGTTTGCTAACAGGTTTGCACAGCTTGCCTTAAAAAAGAAAAACTATTACCGCATTTAAAAGTACTTTATGGAGTTATTGAGCAGGGGATTAACTTGACACAAAATTCACAGGAAAACTTGAGCCATGCAGCTATAAAAGCAGATAAGAAGAAAAGCAAAGCAGATGCAAACACTGCAGTTTTCAAAAGATTAAAAAAGGGTTTGCAGATGCTTTATAAGGTGGGAAATGCATTCAACATGTTTTTAGGATTTAAGGATACATAATGTATTTTGGTGAGAATAGTTGAACGTAAACAAAACCCAGTTTGTTTACAATAAAGACCCCACAGGACACATTTAATTAAAGCATGTCCATGCATTATTAAGTCAAAAAAACAAAACTGATGAATTGCATCAACTTACTTTGATAAAGGCGGTTCACACACATCCACTTGCATCAGCTGAAGTGCTTAAATGCTAAGGGGGTGGGGGGCACGGGTGTTGCAGATTAAGACTGCCTGTGCTCTCACATACTGCATCAGCCCACTCGTACCAGTGGGTGACATCCCTCCAGGACAAATTATGCATCCCTAGGGAGGCGAGAATATGTCATCGGTGCCAACGGTTGGCTAAGACTCAGAGGGGAGCATTTTAATTGTAGCTTGTTTCATGCTGAAATAATCAGGGAGGCTGTGATGTCAGAAAAGGTTGCCTGCAGTAAACAGTATCGTGTTACAGGTGCCATGTGTTAGTTTACAGGTTTGTTATAGCTATAATCGCTCACATCCTTTTTGCAGTGCAAAGAGTTGTTTTCCCAACAAATGAATGCCTCCTCAATGTGGAGTTATGTTAATTGCCACTGGAGGTGCTGTTGATCATTAAGTATTAAAACACAAGTTTATAAGTTTATGTAAAAATGCCTTTCTCATTCTTGGGTTTTTTAATGGTTTATCATATTTTAGCTAATTTTGTTGGGTTGAAAAAACCTCTAATTGAACTGCATGGGCTGCACTCAACAGTGAATTACTATTGTAAAGTTATTCCACACCTGAGAGGAAGTGTTTATAAAATTCTAATTGTATTCCTATTTCAGCTGTCAGAAAGAACGAGGAATAATTTGCCAACCAGCTGACTGTGAGACAGGTGAAATTGAACGTTCAGGCTTTGAGAGTGAACTTGAGTTTTAATCTTAGCATCCAACCAGAAAATACTAATCCTTAGGAAGTGTGTGCATGTTCATTACCAAAAAAAAAAAAGGAAAGTAAAAGCCAAGTGGAGAACAATCAGCGACAGCACTCACCACGGTTAAAGTCTCTCTCGCCTTCAATAACTTGAGCTGTAAAACTTTTCTATTGTCCCTGCCCTATCAATAGAGGAGAGATAGTGAATGCAAATCAAACACACCCCACCTCTACTCCACGCTAAAGTGTGAGCTTAATTAGCTTCTGGAGCAGGTTTGTTGAACAAAAACATAACAACGAGACATTGATCAAGGGAAAGGCTAGAAAGATAAAGCGCAAAGAGAGTTGGGCAACCTCATTTGTCTTTAATTAAAAGTAAAAGGGTTATCTTCACAGAAGGCAGCTGCTTGTCTCAAAAGGCCACTCCAATTACTGAGTGAGACAAAGGGAGGGAGTTCTACGAATTTGGGAGTGGCCAGACTGAGAGAGAGGCAGAGAGGTAGTGTTGCCATGAGGGCTGCCTGCTGTCACATACACATAGAGCTCAGCAGAGTGAGGCAGACAGCGGAGAAAGTTGACAATGGCTGCACCATGCATGAAAGCTTCATGAGTAAAACATCTGTGTGACAGCTGATGTAAAACTAAAGACTGGGTCGAGTCAATAAAGCTCAATGTAGCTGAAACTGATCAAAACTGTCAAGAAAGGCCTTGATCGGTGCCAATACAGATCGCTGAGATCGGATCAGGACATCCCTACTAACAACTGTTGCAAAGCCTAATAAAGTGTGTAAGGACGGGGGTGAGTACAACTCACCCTCTCCAACTTGTCTCCACTTCGAGGGAGACAAAGAGAGATTTTGTGTTTCAGTATTTTGTTACCACCATCTGAATGACATAAGACAGCATCAGGTTTTCTGATAGCCACAAAAATGTGGGTTTTCCTTGAAATGATCTTTACAAGTCAACTGTGCACAGCTGGAGAATGGGTCCCAGAGGCCGAACCTCTCCCCAGAGAGGATCCTAGTTGACCTAAAGAATGAGAAGGGGGCAACTGTAGGAGAAATGGAGATTACTCAGGACAGCATCCTAAGGAGAAAAAGTGAGATCATTATATCCGATGAAACTGTTGCTGAAGGGCTTACGACCTTGTTAATGGTGTTGAACAGATTAAGGCTAGATTCTCACTGCAGGTAAAAGTGACCCAAATCACATTATTTATTTTTTTTGCTAATATGTGAGCCAGATCAGAACACAAATCACATGTAATCAGATCTTTTTCAGTTCTGATTTGGGCCACTTTCATATTTCCTCCAAATCAGACACAGGTCTGGTTTTGCAGTGTGACCTCAGCATGAACAGTTGAATCAGAATTTATCTGACTTTTATGTCACCCTAGCTCTCGTCTGTCTACTTCACATATAGGCAATATTTAAAAAATAATTTGAACTGCTAACACAAAAAAATAATAGCTGAGCAATAAAGCAGAATTGAGCGCTAAGGCTTGCAGTGTGAACGTAGTTCGAAGTCCTATAAAGATAACAGAAGACTTAATAATATTAAAAGTAACTTTTCTTTGAATCTTGGACTACTTTGAAGAACACATGCTAGAAGGTATATAAGCTAAACTCCATATGTGTGTGTTAACAGGTCTTGAACTTGTGAATGAGTAAGTGCATAAGTGCAGGGGCAGGAGGGAGAGGCAGGATATGATTTTCCGATTTTTTTTGTGTGTGTGTGTTGTGCTGAAGGAGGGGGTTGAAAGAGGGCGTCCCTCTTATGGTCCCTCCCCAGCCCTGCCCCTTCACTTAGAGGAGTGTCCTGCAGCAGGTCCCAAAACTGGAAACTCATTCAGTCCCTTCTGAATGGAGTGTCTTTAACGTGAGAGTGGAGGACTTAACTTTCAGCACGTAAATATGAGAGCCCTACATTTGGTCCTGGTTGGTGGCTTCTTGACCCTGCTGTTCTGCCTCCCCAGTCCCGGCCATGGAGGTAAGTGCCATTGCAAATCACTCTGTTAGATTCCTGTTCCCTTCTTCTGCTTGCCCCCATGTCAGAGATGCACAGGAGGAAATTAAATCACTGTCCCTTTCTGAGGGTTCCCCAAATGCATAATTCAAAGCATGACAAGCTGATGAGTTATTGCCTCTTAAACTTAAACTAAACAAATGTTAACTTTAATCTGTGGGAATATTGCACTGAGCAAAATGTTTATAAGTGAATAAGGTCTTTTTTATTTTATTTTATTTTACTTTTTTGTTATCCACTCTCACAGTCTTCATGCCATTCATTGCTCACCAGTGAAACCTTCCTTTTCTTGATTGAAACTCAATACATGAGGAGAAAGATGTTGCAAGGGTCTGACCCTGGTCCAAGGTCTGAGACGACGTCTGTCGATTTCTCATTTAATAGAGTTTTTCTTTTCTTTGCCTTTTAGTCTGTGCAGGCTGAGTGTGTGAGTGCATTTACCTTGAGAATGTTTGCATTGAAAGCATGTTGCCAAAAGGCAGGAGGTAGTGAAGCTGAAGCCCTCTGGTGTTAAGGGGTGAGCTGAGGTCCCTCTGCCGGCAGCAATGAATGGTTCTTTCAGAGGGATGTGCATAGTGGCAGGCAGAGCTGCTCCTTATCCACCCCGATAGGAGAGATGAAAGTGAGAGAAGGAGGAGGACTAGTAAGGGAGTGAGAGAGGCAGTGTGTGTGTTGGGGAGGGGGATGCTGGCAGGCCAAGGCCCACACAATGGCTCCATAGTTCATGAGTAAAGTCTACTACAGATGTACCTTTCTCAACGTGATATGATGCAGCCGTTCTTCCACATATTCCTCCCGAGTGTGAGTGCAGTTAGTGTGGGACGTACAGTGTTTGGGTGAGGCAAATCTGGTATGCGAATGAGAAGTTGAAATAGTTTCGTCAAGCAGCTTAACCAACTCACCTCAGCGCAAAATTGTACATATGGTGAGTTGGCAGGATCAGCCTTGGACTTAGAACAGCTGTTGAGCCCATTGTCTTCCACCGGCTGTCAGATCTTCAAACTCTCACTGAAAATTCCACTCCAATTAAGTTCGGGCAAACCTCTCCATGAGTGTCTCATTGGCAGCTAAAGTGAAAAAGTGTCTCTTGATCTGAACGGAGGAGTATCACTTTATTTCTGTGGCACAGAATCAAAGCTCAGCTGGAGAGCTGGATTCAGTTCTTCTGCACTGTGATCTGTGCACCACAAGCATGAAAAGAGTCATTTGCCCTTCTGTTTGCTCATTTATAGATAAACCCCACTGACTGGCATGACGGTGACACCTCCGCAAAAAAATTAGCTGAACACTGAGCAAACAGTGACTGCTGAGTGTGGTCACATTGCATTAACTGACAATGAACAGAAACCCTTGTCATAACAGAGTACAGTATCTTAATGCAGATACACATACAGTAGTAAGTTAGCATTATAGTTTGTGCTGACTGGTTAAATTGTGTGGTAGATGTGATTTTCTGCAAACCAAATGTTCATCTAATCAAAATTATGTCAGAATAAAACAGGAAAACTGTATGAAGGAAGAATTTCACCTCATCTAAACATCTGCTGGCAGAATCCTCGCTGCTCACCCACTGACCCTGGAGAACTAAATGCTAATGTTGACCAGATGTACAGAGTCACTGATTAGATTTTAGCCCCTCTTCTCCACAAAATTCCTGCCACAAGCTGTCGGGGGACTCTTCCACCAACCACCTAGAAGGCTTACAGGAGGTTTCATTTCTTCCCTGTGTTTACAACTTCAAATATCACAGGCCATGCACCACATGGAATCCAGATGCCTGGCCATACATCAAGTCATTGGCACCTTTCTCTACAGAAGCACTGTGCAATGTTTCTCCAAGGGTTGAGGTGGTCTGCATCCATTTTTACTATATTTCTCTACCTTCAGGAATGTGTTGCTCAGCAGCAGAACGTGAATTGAGTCAAATGATGAATGCAGAACAGTGAGCCTTTCCCTATAATAACATTTTCCATGAGTTTTCTTCAGTGGTGCAACCTACCACTTTCCCATATTCTTATGCCATCTTGTTCCTTCCGCCCACATAGCAGCCTCAGGAACAATTAAGATGCAGTGTGAGCATAAGCAGTAGCTCACTAAATCAATTATATAATCTTCTCTTCACGTGGACTATATGAAGAAAATGCAAGAACACTAAGATATGAGATTAAGTGTTTCAAGATCAATATATTATAGCATTCATACTCAAGGTTGTTTAGCCTTCTGGTGATGTCATGGCCCTCAATTCAACATTGCACCTATGATTGATAACACCCTCTTTCACCTACCCAAGCTCACTAAATACCTGCCAACCCCTTTAGACCCTGTACATCCGTAAATATCATTTCATTATAGAATTTAAAAGGGACACATCTTTTTTGACATTGGAAGCAGAGGACCAGCAGGGTTATGTATTCAGCAGCCATGTGACCGTCCTTTTTTTCTCAAATCAAAGGATGCTCACTTTATCACTGCTCTATCTGAAATTGGACATGACGTGTTCCTGTTTAGAGTCAGAGTCTTTAAAATAAATAATCTGCAGTTCTGTATCTCTTCAGTGGGCAGAAAGGCTGCTCTTTTACTACCACATTACCAAGGTTTGGGAAAAATTTACCAGGGTAGTTTTCAAACCATAAATTGCTCTGCAGTGCTCACGTGTTGTTTGGTTGACCTGGTAGTGGAGGTTGTTTTTTCCTATTTTGCTGTCTGTTGATAGGCACACAAAGTAATAGGCACACAAAGTTTGGTGTTGTTATGTAAATCTGTTTGAAAGTTATGTGCCCCAGAGGAAGCCACATCCATCGCCACTCCCCTGTGTTGGTCAAACAGTGTGAAAAGTTAAGGACTTCTTTCTTGCCCAATTACCAACCTTTCTACAAAATCTTCTGTTCTGTCTTCTGTTCTGTCAGTCTTTTGTTTAAAATTGTGTTGCTTTCTGAAAATCAATTTAAAAAATATTGGCATTTTCTACAATACAATAACCTGACAGATGAATAGAGACAAACAGATGAAATGGGGAGAAAAAAAAATCTTTGTTGGCAAAGCTAATGATGATCTGTGTCAAATATTACCAATATGTATGATGTGAAAAAGCTACTACATCGATGTAATTACCACCTACTCAATTGCGGATGCTTGTCTTAAATTGCTCAAATAACATATAATAAGACAACATCTTCTACTACAAACATTGTCTAATGGTTTATGCACATTTGTGAGTGTTTTAGCAAAGTCTTGCTCCTGAATATGTTTGCATTTTCAAGACTACACATGAGCCTGCTATCTCCCCTAGAGTGTAATGTCTCTATGGTAACAAGAAAAAAATAAATATGAAATTTGCCTGTGCTTTGTGAAGTGTCTGTATACAATGCCCCCATGTGTTCCTTGAGAGTTGGCAGGGAGAATGGTGTGACTACAAGTGTCTGCACAGGAGATTAATACATCCAATATTTGCATTGGGAAATTGATGAGATTAGTGTTCTGCTGGTTGCATTGGTCCCACAGACACATTTTGTGACCCTCCCCTCACCCCTAAGTTTAAACACAACGCAATGTTAGGACAGAATAGAAATGGGGCGTTTGGAGCAAATCCAAACAAGAAAATCAGAGTGTTTATAAATGCAGAGCAGAATGCACAGTCCCTTGCCTGCGTTCTCTTTATGGAAATACCTCCACATGTGACTGAAGAACTGAATGTCCAAAAAGTGGTCACTTCAAATGCCAGACGAGTGAGTTGTTCTATTTAGTTATATCGTTGTGTTTGTATTATTTTTCCAACCACTGCAATGTAAACACCACAAAATTATAAACTGTAATCTGTAATTAAATACAGTACTACATAGTCAATGGTTGAAAGGGAGCAGAAAAGAACAATCTTGTCAGAATAATGTTAGTAGACTTGCACGAAATATACACAAATGTAATTTGCTATTTACTATATTTTTACAAAGAATACATTCTTGAGGTTGAGTTCATTTCTTCTAAAACTTAAGTGCAGTACAGGAGCTTTCTTGTACTTTGGAAGACATTATAAGACCCTCATAACATCTCTGAGCATGGGAGACAATATTGATAATGTTTCTAATATGATATAACCTCCCTCACTTCTGCCTGCCTGATGTTTTATCCGGCACTTTCAGAGAGAAAGTTTCAGTGAGTCATGGTTTATTAACTATTTTTTTTGGAACTATGGCCCGAGGCAAACATCATTGCAATAATCCAAAGTTAGCTGTGTAGGCAACCTGCCTCACCCTGCTCCTTTCCTTTCTATAACTTCACCTTGTTACCACTGGTAGAATTTTATATCTGACCTGTAGCAACGGGGTGGGCAGCATGTCTGGCCAGTGATTACAGTGTCGGTCCCATAATGGAAATGTTAGAGGCTTGACTCCTGTAACAGCAATAACTCCTGTCAAGGTGTCCTTGAGCAAGACACTGGGCAACTGCTGCTCATTCACAATGAGCTGCTGTAGTCAGATGTCAACTAAAAGCAAGCAGGAAATGTAGAAAGCAAAGAGTACCTTAGAAAAACAAGATTGGGAGATCATTTTATCATTTATTTCCACTGAACTACAACTGTTTACTGTTTACTGTTAGAACTTGTCTTGTTTTCATGCCCAACAAGGCAAGAAAAGTCTAACACCCAGACAGGGATAAATAAAACAACATTTTAGTAAGATTATCTCTAAACCACTTTATTTGGAGGTAAAACTGAAAGTGAACAAACAAATGATTACAGTGAGAATGGCAGGTCAAAGTTAAACCGTTGAAATAATTCTGTAAACTGTGATGGATGTTTACAATCAACGGTTTGGTTAATAATTTCACTACTCGTCTTAGGTTTCTCTCTACAAAAACACTGGTTAATCTCAGTGCAAGCTATGGAGTCCCAAAGGCTCCAGCTTCATTGTGTGGTTATTATTTTTTGGTGGCTTGATAGTTAGTCAGAGGCCCCCTGACTTGTAGAG